ATATATATATATATAAAGAAGAGTTTTTGTATCAACGCATATATTTGTAGAGATATATACATATATATATATATTCAAGCATAGAATCGAACAGATACGCATACTCACATATATTATAGTCGATCAGGCATAAACGAAGCAAAAAAAAAAAAAAAAAAACGAAAAAAGAAAGAAAGCAATAGTAAATCCGATTCAGTAATTTCTTTTCTGCATAATCGTATGATGATGAACCGTTGCAATACCAAACCATATTGTGGATTACTCCATTTGAGGAATTTCTCTCTATTCTTATTATCGCTCTTTGCTGTCTTAACATGCTTTAATGTATGTTTAAACACCGCCGCCGCTGCTGCTGCTGCTAATGAAGGGAAGGCCGTAGTGGATCCGTCTGAGCCGTTAATAAATGTTCCCTTCCGCATTACCGCATCTTTCTTAAAACAGGGACAAAACTTATATCTATCACGTGATTCCACATGTGATACCTCGCAAGTGACAGGATCCATATGTACATTACCCGCATCTCGCACCTGTGATTTTACCATCAGTGATGCTAGTGTGGGTATTAATGCGCAGTATGAGTCTGAAGTGCCTTTATTGTATCTTTGCTCAAGTGCCTTTTCTTCTTCAGTGCCTATTCAAACCGTACAATTAAGTGTAATTGATGTGATGCCTCGCTTTGTAATGACGGGATCTGCTTTTCGTGTTACTGTAAATAATGCCACACCATTAGAAACTGTTATTGGTTTCTTTTATGATGATGATTGCAAGAACAGTGTGAGTGGAATGCCACCAGTGGTACTTGGAGCAGATCGACAATTAAGTTTAACTGTTTCTACCGGTGATGTGATTCGACTGTGTGCTCGAGTTCCATTAACTGTTCCTGGTCCTAATGGGGATTCATTATCATCGTATTTACCTGCAGCCACACTGCTGGTTGTAAGACCGTTTACAGTAAATAAAACACAAGTACTTCGCTATACCAAAGAAGAGTTTCGTTTATCGCCATTCAGTCAAATTCCTGTTGCAAGTTTTTCTCAATCTTCTCATTGTATTCCACTGGGACAGGATCCAGTAAGTGGATATATGCTACAACAAGTGGTATTACCTATACAAGTCCCAAAAGGAAATTATTATCTCTGTACAGGACTTGCATACTATAAGGAAAAACGATTGTATGTTCCCTCTGACAATCAAGTGGTAGTAAAGGCATATGGATTACAACCACATACTATGTATACCAGTTTATCTACAACGATAACACTGACATTAGATGCGAATACACCTTCTTCTGGAGTTATGAGCACAGCATTATTTTCTTCTCCAGGTTGTGAAAATGATAATGTTATTCCATGGAGTAGCACAACAAAAACATGGACTGTAAGTTCATCCGGTATTTATTACGCATGTGTGAAGGGAGATACATCGTCCGCACCCGCCGCAATGGCAGCAAATATTACAGTGATGGATCCACCCATGGCATCTCTCTCACGTACTCCCGCAATTAGAGGTCTTCCTCTCACTGTTACATTAAGTGGTCGTGTTCTCAGTAATCCTGGAATTATAACGGTGGGATTATCATTAACATCAACGTGTTCAAAACTTGTGGCTAGTGGAGTAACAACAGCAACTGGTAATGTTGCTACTTTCCGTGTTCCAGCAGATGCTCTTGCAAAGATGACACTTTGTATTTCAACACCTCTTGCGAGTACATCTAATGGGAATGATAATGATGATATGGATCAAGGATATACATATGCTCGCAGTACAATTACAACACAAGAATATAATATCAGTTATGGTCCATTGTTTGCTGGAATTCCAGGGACCATAACACTTGATCCAACCGTTCGTTTTGATGCTGGTACAACTGGTATATTTGCTCTGGGATCATGCGATAATGCAACAAGTAAATCCTTTTCAATGGATGGAGTAAGTTTAAATAATGTTGTGTTTGAATCGGCTGGTCAATATTTATTATGTGTTAATGTGGCTGCATCATCATCATCATCATCATCTAAGGAATCCTCATATACACCGATTGGTAATGTTTTTGTATATGGACCATTAAATCTCTCTCCATATTCTCTTGTTGTGGGTGTATTGACAAATGTACAAGTTTCTCTTATTCCACCCACAGCACCTGTTCGCATTATGACTTCTGATGATTGCAATGGTGTGCCTTTGGTTGAAGGAACAGCAAACAATGCGGGGGAAGTAACACTAAAAGTATCATACGATAAAGAGGTAAATTTAACAGTTTGTGTGGGATACCGTGGAAGTAATGCTCAAGGAGGATGGAATGTGAGATCTGTGGGTAAGTTACCTGTTACACAAGTAACATTACTTCCTAAAGCTATTATCACTTCACAAGTAAATCGAGTGAACTTTATTGTACCCGATAAGATATCACTTACGGGTCTTCAGGCATTTGTGGTATCTGCAGAAGGGGGATCTTGTGCAAATCCACCATTATCATCACCAGAGTCAAAGATGAGTGTAATTATTCCTACTGATGGACGAGCGTATATACTCTTTACACCATCTACTTCCACTACTACATGGATGGTATGTTTAAGTACTACCAGTACTGTTTTTAATTCTGTTGGTACGATTACAGCTGTATCTCCACTTGATGTTATTTCAGGTTCCTCAGATAATGCACTTGATCTCCCTGCTCGAATTAAATTAGGTGGATCATCATTAAAAGTACTTAAACCCACTCGTTTCTTTATTACAGATATTCCAAAATCATGTGCACGTGCTGAAAGTAAAGCCCCTCCTTTATACGCAGAAGGAGTGATGGATGCCTCTACTGGGGAAGTGAGTGCATTTCTTATGAAAAATGAGGGTAATTTTACACTTTGTGTGGGTTGGCAAGATGGAGAAAATCAGTTTTTTGTATATGGTGCCTCTATTCAAGTAGAGAAGTTTAAAACACTTTCTCGTTATGCTATTCGTGAATCCAAAAATAATCTCACAGCCTTTCCATTACAGGAAGGTGCAACCTTATTTCTGGTGGCTTGTTCTCCAGCGAGTGTCTGTAATTCTCCCATCACAGCAACTGTTTGTAAACAAGCATCTAAACGGTATTTTACAAGCCCACTGGTTCCATTAACAGGAGCTGCCGTGGGACAATATGTATTATGCCAGGAAGATGCAAAGGATGGAAGTATAGTAGCAGCAGAGAGTTTGATTGATGTGGTAAATCCATTTATGGTAACCTTTGCAGAGAATGAAGTACGTCAGTACAAACCAGTTTCCATAACTGTAAGTGGTGGGGATATGAATACAAGGAGTGAATCTATTATCATTTCTACTATGCCACCTGGTGTGAATTGTGGAGCATCTCATCCAGATCGTGAAGAGTTTACTTTTACTCCTTCTAAACCTACTGGGAATATCACTATTACAAAGATAGAACCATATATGGAAGGTGTACAATTGTGTTTAGGTGTTTCTACATATGATGTACTCTCTGTAGCGGTATTTAATCTTCTTTCATACATGACACCTGCTACAATAATTACAGATAGAAAGGTGTCAGTACGTTCTGGTATGTGGGAAACAGGTGTGGTTGTAAAATTAACTGCTACGAATGATTGTACTGGTAATGTGATGAATTCGTCTCCTGTGCTTATTCATAATTATGTTTCAGAATTGTTTGTAGAGGGTTGTGCCAGTACAAATACGGACCTTACAAAGGTATATTATTGTGAAAGTAAAGATGGGATGAATGCATATGAACTTCGAGGTATGATGCGTTTGATTCGTTTAAAGAATTGTACACCAGATAAACCATCAGTTATTACACCTATTACAGTTCCACCTTCACAAACTATAAATGATTATGGTATTGATACTACACAGCTTATGAATCCTGTTCTTTCACGTACATCGGACTGTTTGCAATTGGTAACATTAAATGAGAATGCTGGTTATACACCAAGTTATGATGATACTACACGTTTCTTTGTTTGTGTTAATGCTAAAGGGGATCCTGCGTATTTATTTACAACCGATACACCAACATTAAGTGTTATAAACCACTTGGCATTACCAACATCTATTCCAAGTCGATTAAGTGCATCTGTTGGCGTTGCCATGATGACAGTACTCCAATTAAACTACAATACAGGAACAAGCAATACATATTTAAGTGATTCGGCAAAATGTGATTCCACCATCGCGAAAACACCAGATCTTGGTCGTGAACCACCACGTGCACAGTTAATTTTAACAGGTGTTTCAGGTATTAAGTATGTATGTGTTGTCAGACGTACAAGTACGAGTACGAGTGAAACCAAACCGGTTTCAAGACTTCTTGTTGTGAATCCACCACAAGCAACTAAATTGGATCCGGCTCTTGTTCGTGGTGCACCTTTTCACGCAACTTTACAAGTTATTACGATGGATGGTCAACCACCTACATACTCTTTGGTTCCTGGAGCAGATTCAGGATATGCAGTGGCACCATTTTACACTTCCAGTTTTCGTGGTATTTACTTATCAGGGGATGCATGCAGAAGTGTATTAAGTGGAACGGAAGTAAATTATGTACTTGGATCTGGTCGTGTGGCAATTCCAACAAATTCTATTGATTCTAGTGTGACATCTTTTTCACTTTGTGCTGGAACTCCAGCTGGAAACTTAACGGTTGAAACAGGAATTTCACTCTCTACAAATATTATTTTCCCTTCACAATTTGTATTGGGGGCAGATTTGGAAGTTTATATTCCACTCTCACCAACGACTGTATTTCATTTAAGAAGAAATAATGATTGTAGTGGACCAGAAATTGTTCCTTCTTTTTCTACAAACGAAGAAGGTCGAGGAAATTTATCTTTTAAATTACCTTCCGGTGCTGGTTTACCTCCATCTGGTGAATGGACATTATGTGAAGAACAAGCCCCTTCTCAAGTGGTTTCAGATTTAACAAGGATGCATTATAAAGTAGAGAAAGCATTGGTGGATTCTTTACGTCCACTTACCACGATTCAAGCATTTGATCCCGTTTACTTTAATGTTCGTGGTACTAATATCATTGTTGGAGTTCCAAGTGTTGCCATGTTACTAGACAGACTCACAGCGGATAATTTATTACCTGGATTTAGTACTGACAGGAGTTGTGTAAATCGTGGAGAAACTTATGGTTCTTGGCATCTTTTGAATGGTGCAACACCTACCGACTCTACACGTATTTCTATTGATGCGAAGGAACCTGTAAACCCTATATACATGTGTGCAACGACTCCAATTAACAACACTGTTGTCTCTCTGCCAACTAATGGTGGATTTAACTTTCTTGTTTCTACTGTCTCTCTTCCATCGATTGTCCCCCGCTGTGAGCCGCTGCCGCTGGACTCCTGCGCCCTCCCGGGCTCCCCGCCGCCCACCGCCTCTCTCATTGTTATCAAGGGCGACTGCTGCAACGTGGCCGACCGCGGGAATGTCGTTGGACGAGCCACGCAGACCGCCGACGGCCACTGCGCTCTTTCGATGGACCCCCGCCGCCTCAACGCCTTCCCGCCGTCAACGAACTTCGCCGTTTGTGCGGTGGACACTGCCGATATGTCGTACTGCGCCACGTTGGGGCAAGTGCGGGCGGATGAGAAGAAATGTTCGGATGAAGCCAGTTCCACACAATCCCTCGCCACCGGTACTCGTATTGCAATTGGTATTCTCTCCGCCGTTCTCGCACTGCTTATTATTGCTGCCATTGTATGGTTGGTGCTACGCTGCAGACGTACAAAGAAGGATAATGAAAAGCACGCCATTGGACCAGCAGCTATGAACCCGCTGATGGTGGAAGGTCCACTGATGCTTAACCTGCGAGGCACAAGCGAAGATTACCGTACCATTACTATTTCACCATCTACAGATCGTGCCACCCACTCACTCTCACCTCCAGGGATAGACATGCGGTTGTGGGAGGAAGGAGAACATGATATACGCGATCAACTCGCACTGCAGGAAGCACGTGACCGATATCACATGCGACTCGTATTTACAGAGGGACTTGAAAGGTTACGAGTTGCCGAGAAGGAGCGTGACTTACTCTTTGAATTGAGTGGCGATGATGAAGGAGAGGATGAGAGGAATGGAAACTGTTTCAGCTATAACAACAATAAGGATGACTATAATAGCAACAGCGATTATAGCTCTCGGGTTGCCCCTATTGCTGTGGGACGCGTAGCGTCAGCACCACCAGCAGAGGAACTAAATCACACATATTTACCACATCCACCGGTGGAAATTCCTATTAATGGTACTAGCGGTGCTGCTGTTAGGGCAGTTGCTGGTGTGGTTGTTGAAGAAGGACCCTTATCTCCCTCACCGGTACCACACAATCCTCATGATGCCTCTTCACCTGGATCGAGTTTTGGAACAATAAGTTACACAACCACACAACGCTTTCATGATGAATGTCGGTTTACACTTGAGAATGAGGCTGTACGACGACAACGTATTTTAAATTGGGAGGAAGAAGAATTACATACCATAATTGATAATGAATTCAATGATTATGTACGTTTACAACAGAGTTTGGCCCCACCACCCCCACCTCCAGTCTCAGAGGTTGTTGTGTTGCCATTCACTGCCGCTTTCACAGAAGTTGCGGTTGCGAATGATGACCATCCAGAAGAACAAGAAGAAGATGATGAGGATGATATTTACGATGCCCCTGATATTCCAGCACCATTGGTAAAGTATAATAATCTTACTACTGAAAGTGGTACCACCGCTGTTGCTATTAATGATGATGTTACTGAAGAGGAGGTATACAATACCCCATCGGGCTGCACTGGGGAGGGTGAGGAAATGGCTTCGGGTGATACCATCTTCAGTGGATCCATTCCATCACTGAGTAAACCGAAAGGAGGGAGAGCCGACTTCACATCAGGGGAGGGAACGAATGAAGAGGAACAAGAACAAGAAGAACTAAAACCGACAACACCACATGGACACAAGCGACGACTAGGACAAGAAAAAACTCCAGAGGAAGGAGGAGGAGAAGAAGAGGAAGAAGAAGAACAACAACAACAACAAGAGAGTCATGAGCAAAGAAAAACTAAACTAAAACGACAACGGAAAGAGAAAAGGGTTTACACAGATCCCTTATCGCCACCATCCACACCACCTGACATTGATGACAGTACGCTGAGTACCGAAGCTACTATGAATAAAACATCTGTACTCAATGAATCTTCATAATAATAGCAGCAAGGATATTTCAATAGATAAGGACGGTATGGTAAAGAAAAGGAAGAAAAAAAAAAAAAACACGCCCTAGAGAAAAGGGTTCAATAGATTGAACGGACACTATTGCATATAAAATACAAAAAAAAAATAGATGCATAACATAACTTTTTCTTTAATATAAGAAAAAAAAAAAAAACGAAAATAAAATAATAAAGGGAGGTAATAAAAGGTAAAGATAAGCGAAATCAGTATATATATATATATATGTTCTGGTGAAGCTATTTTTGTTTTGCCTCCATATCTAGATGCACATTTATCTTACATACAGTGGATTTTAAAAGGGGTTCACAAAAAGGGACGTAGAAGGGGTCATTATTTTGTACCACTGAATATACTTTTGAGACATGTTCATATTGATCCATCTGCAGAGTTTCTACCTTTTATTGTTTACCCTTTTTTTTTCTTTTGAAGAAAAAAATCCTATTTGATCATGAATAGAATAAAGAAAAAGAAGAAAAGAATGATTACTTCCTCCAAAAAATAAAAAAAAAAAAGAGGCGTAATCTAATTTATATATAAATATTTTTTTTCGGTTGTACACGTTGTTTTCTCTGTGTCTTCTTGCGAGAGTTATTTAGGCACAGTGTAGTACAACAGAAATGAAAAAGAAAAGGTAGAAAAACAACAACAAAAAGAAAAAGAAAAAAAAAAAGAAGAGTGGGGTATTAAGTTATTATGAAGGATAAAGAGTGTTGCCCATAATGCGAGCATATACATAGAGAACAATAGAAGCTGATTGAAAAAGGAAGAAATATAAAGATATTGTGGTAATGCGAAAGGAAGTCATCTGTAAAAATGATTGAGAAATTTTTTTTTTCTTCTGCATGAAAGCAGTGATAGTATTGGATAAAAAAAAAAAAAAAAAAAA